CGTTACATCGCGCCCCGCGTCGCAGGGAGGAAAACACCAGTAGACCGGCTCTTAAATCAGGAGCGACAGTGCGACCTGAAATCCTCGTTATCCTCGGAGCCGGAGGAACGCGGCAAGAAACGCGCTCGTGTCCTACTCCGATTCCGCGATAGGATTCTTGGATTCGGATCTGGCGGCACCAAAGATGCACTGTCGACCACTATAATGCGGCGGCAAGAAGCGCGGCGGAAGCGCTCGCCCAGGGGTTGCGAGCAGCGCGGGATGAAAGGGGGTGGTATGGGTGGCGGGCCAGGATATTACCGATGCGAAGGATGTCGCCGGGATGCGCGCGCATACCGAGCTCATTTCCATAACGGGTTGGGTACATATTACCGCGCGTATATACGTATCTATATGTGCACTCGAATTACGAATAGATGCATCACTCGGCGAATGCATCTTGCGAGGGTTACATGCCATTCGCCGGCGCGGTTTGGCCTCGCCCGACTCCGACGGAAGCCTCTCGAAATCTAATGATACGTTGCGCATTAATCTCGAGAATTGTCGGTCATTGCGATGCTGGCTGCTCGCCGCGAAATATGACGTTGCGAAATAGGTCGTTCTCGAGGACTGCTCCGAACGCACGAAAGGTTCACCCGGAACAGACTGAGCTGATGCAAACGTGACGACGTCGATGCGCGCGATTCTTCGCGAGCGAGTGCATTCCTCCTCGTGATCCCGATGTTAAAGTGGCCGCTCGTTTGCTCATCTCGCACGACTAATCCTCTCTCACTCTCTCTCTCTCTCTCTCTCTCTCTCTCTCTCTCCCCCTCTCTCTCTCTCTCTCTCTCTCTCTCTTTTTCCGGATATATCGCATTTGACCTTTTGAATCGGACCTTTTCAGAGTGCGATTTTACGAGTGTAATATCCGCGATATTGCGCGTGTATCGCCGGATAAATATGAACCAACAGCTTTTTGGCGGAATTACAATATTTATCGTAATAACGTTCGTGTAATATAAATAACGCCGCGTTATCGGACACTTTAACCCAGATATTTTGAATTATCGCAGCACCTGAGTGCGCGACCGGGCGCGATGTTAAAAACAGAAACGCGCCGATAGAAGTAGCCGATAGGATCGCGTCAAATCGGCGAACGTGCACGGCCGGCGGACGTATCTCGCGCGATGGCCAAATTGCCGGATTGTCAGTTTGTCGAGCGGATAAATCGCCGGGTCAGATAATATCGTCGAACGGACAAATTGTCGAGCGTATGTCGCGCCGTGCCGGCAGTAACGAGCCGCTCGTCGCTGGCGCGTAGAGGAAAACTGCCGAGGAGACAGGGAAATCTGGAAAATTGGAAATGAAACGCGGCCGAGGGCGAGCAAACCGGGCGAAAAATCGAGAGAACGACGACGACGACGACGATGACGACGACGAGGACGACGACGACGACGACGACGACGACGACGACGACGACGACGACGACGACGACGACGACGACGACGACGACGACGACGACGACGACGACGACGGGTTTACACGTGCGCCGTATGTAAAACACGATAGCGCGCGCGTACTTGCGCGTCCAACTTCGCTCGTACTAATAAAATGTAAAACGTCCCGGCGGACGCTCGGGGCGTTTCGACGCGGCGCCGCGCCGCGGCGACAAAGTACGCTTATCAACCTTTAATAAAACGGCCGTGTTGCATAATTCACGCGCTAATTTATGCGGCGACCACCACCACCGCCGCTTACGTAGCGTACGTACGCAGAGAAAACTCCGTGTTCCGCACCGGCGAACATCGCGCTGCTCAATCGCCCGACGAGATAGCGAGCCGGAGTACTTTCCGACTCGAGTGATTATTTGGACGGGTCCGCGGGTCAAAGGTTTCGTTGTTTGCTTGGCCGTTTAGCCCACCGGAGCCTCCGTAATCGCCGTGTTTGCCGAGGGTTTGCCGACAGACATGTAATCCCGAACACCTCTTGATTGGCAAACATGCATATTTTATTCGTGATGGCGGCGGCGCGGCCGGCGGCAACTCTCGCGCTCAGATAACGCACGCTGGCCCCGTATCAATTATTTGCCATCTCTATCTCTCTTTCTCTCTCCAACTGTCGGTCCCTCTCCCTCTTTGTCGTTTCGAAGCCGTCTCTTCCTCCCGCTACAGCTCCAGCCCCCTCTCCTCCTCGCCGAAATTCGACGCGGCCTTCTAATGGGGACGAGATTTTAATTGAAATGTAATCCCAATTAAAATGAATCCGCAATTCTCGATGCACGAGTGCGTATAATCACGTTAGCGAAATGAAATGTCCACTCGGGCACGAGTACGCGGCCGTTGCGGGGAAAGCGAGCAGTTTTGCGAACGGTAATCGGACCGCCCCGCCGTAGCCCTTCGTGCTACGCTCGGGATGCGAGTGTATATTTTTTTATTCTTCTTTTTTTGTTGTTTGCGCGAACGCGCCGAGTGTCGTTATCGCGCGTTTGTGGAACGTGACTTCTTCGGGGGTTTTCCATAATGGCGCGATCGATTTCCCCGAACGTTGAAGTTCCGTTGCGCATCTAAATAAAAGCGCAAGAAGTCCGCGCAAAAAGCGCGGATACAAAAAGTTGTTATTACACGGCGTTGTCATCGAGTCGAAAATGTTCGCCAATCGAGAAGGTACGCTCTCCTCGTACGAACATGAGCTGTGAAAACGACTCGAAAATTTAACATCGATCATGTTTTGTCGCGTTTTTCTCTGCGAAACGTGAGAAATTAACCGTCGAAGAGAATTAACCATCGGCCGTTTCGGCCGACGACGATGTCTGTTCCGTCCGGTGTGACAATCAACACTCACATGCCGTGGTCTGGTTTCGCTTTCTTAATATATTTATTCATTTTCTTTATCCATAACGACTTACCCATTCTATGCGTCTCAAATGTACAGTCTTATATCTGGAACAATTCGCACTCGTATGTACAATAATTTGTCGCAAAACATCACGTAACAACCTCTCGTACACGCTCTCGACCCTTAAATATATCTCCACTCCCCTCCGAACGAGGAGATCCCATCGATGGGATTTGCGTTTCGCTCGCGCACCACCTCGCGAGATCTCCGCCCGAGCTATGCACGCAGCGTCGTCTCTCGCCTCTTCGGCTTCTACTCGATCGATCCCGCCGTCTCGATCCGGTAGAAAAACGCTATTCATTTATCTAGATTGCAACGTATGACGGCGTCGTTAAGTATCGAAAAACGCTCCCGTCTGAGAAGCTTGAGTAACGTCGCGAAACTGAACCGTGAGTACATATTGTCAAGCGGTTTTATTTCTCCGGGTTATAAGCGTTTGAGAAAGTGACGTTAATCTTCTCGGGCGCGGGATAATGATGACGATGATGACGACGACGAAGGAGCGCGGAACGTGACACCGACAACTCGTGTAACATTAGCAACATTGCGCAACGATGCGGTTTTATCCACTACGATTATCCGATAGGTTGCAATTAACTATTCCCTTATTTATTATACAGGCTATCTTTGTATTTAAACGCGTCGTCGCTCTGTCTCAGCACCTTCGCGAATACTTTCTAGATTTCACAGGTATCTGAAACTACTTTCGGATTTCCTGAATGCAACCGCACTTGCGGGATTCAACGCGATAAACGAAATTTATACCGTATTCCGCGTGCGCTCGAGTCTCCGGTGTGTGAGATGCATTCTACGCAGTGTAATGTAACGTGCATGAGAATATAGATTTACCAAGTGAGTTCACTGAGTGTGTGTGTGTGTGTGTGTGTGTGTGTATGCAATGGTACTCGTTAATAAAATTAGACAAAATATTGTTACACAAGAGAAACTCTGAGAAACATTGCAACGTCGGATGATACGAAATTCCGAAAAATTTCATCGCGTACGTACTTCGCTCGGAGTTTGCTTCCTTTATCGATAATTTCTTACACGATAATATATCGCACGCAATGCAATTGACAAGTGTATTGTTGTCGCCGGGTAAAACGGACGTGAAGGAGGGAGGAGGGGGATGGTAAATGTTGAGCGGGAAGTGCGCCAGATTTTTCTTGCAGGCAGGATGACGCGTCTTCCTGCAAAAGCGTCGACGAGAATGCATTGAGAATTCAAACGATTACGATCTCTCGGATAATCTCCGATTTCAGAACGCGTGTACAATCACGCATGTGTTGATACAACTACCGTTGCTGGAGACTTTGATCAAAACGTTACAGTGTAATTGTATCTTCCATTTTCGGATACAAGGCGGGAAAGGGGAGTTAATATTTGACATTAATTTTCCGCCATTGAAGTCGGTGAAGATAACACGTGAAATAAATAGTCGATGGCTTGAATCGTAATATAGCGCACTCGGGTAACACGCGAAAACATTTTGCGTGTGTTCTCGCTCTCTAAACTCTATCACAGAGATGATTGGGCAGATATTCTCCAAGTGAGATGTTTGGAAATATTCTAATAGGCTAGCCGTAAAGCTGCGTCGAGTTTTTGATGCGTCGATGCGAAAAATTATGCAGCGACGAGGAATGAATTATACAACGATTTCTCTCCGCGCACGACAAACGTACTACGAGCGCGAGTTGCTGAAGCGCCCTACTAACGTGATTCAAGCACGCTGCAAACCGATCGGTTAAATATCGCGACAAGAGCGAGAGAGAAACGTTGGAGTCGTTACGATAAAATAGAAAAATGTCCTATGCGGGTCCCCATAACGCGCGATTTGTCTCGTCTGTGTATCTCGAATTGAAGCCGCTCGTGAGCAAGGATTCAAAATTGTAGCAACAGGCTCTTTTTTTCTATTCGCGCTTAAGCTGCTGCCCGTTTAAGTAAGCCGGCTCTCAATACTGCAATATAGTATATATGTATTTCTTATTAGAAACATCTCTAAAAATACTACTTTTATTTTATATAAAAAGATTCTGAAGGACCCTCTCTTGAAATTGTTTATAACATGTAGTACAATATAGTTGGAATTGTAAGTATATACATATATATATATATATATATGTGTGTATATGTATATATGTATATATTCCACTTTTCTCCTCTTTACCATCTAATTTGTAGTGCACAATTCGCTTAAAAGTATATCCATACAGTTAGTTTTGCGCAAACATACATACAAATTAAGCTTTATCTCGACAACTTTTATCAATTTACATCATGTTTCTTTCTCTTTCTCTCTCTCCTCTCTCGTGCATCGCTTCTCAGGACAATTCTGTCATACTACAGACGCTCGTCGTTCTTTTGTTTATTCCCAATGTATCGCTTTGCGATAACAACTGCCGGTAGTATGGCACAATTAAGAGTGCGAGAAGGGCGTTGCGTAAAATACTCTTAGTTAAGCATTAGTCTATGACAGGTATCTTGATCAGTTTGGAAGTCGTTTCAAGTAGGAAAATTTTTGGCATAGTTGACAACTGGAGGGAATCGAAGGCATTTCATCGTAAATTTAGCGATTACATTTATGCGAGTGTTTTAAGTGTTGTAAGATTTTAGATATTAGTGTAAAGTTTCTCAAACTTCGTTCAAAACGTCATCTTGAATAAGCGCGAATACTCGAATATCAGTGAAGTGCGTAGAATTGTTTTTTTACTGATGAAATAAAGGAGAGAGAAAGCGGGCACGTGCGACCGGATATGGAAATTGGATTTATCATTAATCTGCTTTGTTCAAGATTTGCTATTTTGTAATCGTGTCAACAACGCACGACGTATTATTTCAGCAATATTCCCCGAATTTAATTGCATTCATGGAGACATTATTTCGCACTTAGCGCAATTGTACAGTACGCAATGCAGTCTGTATATTCGTTCTTTTTTCTCTTTTTGCATTATTTATACGTAACGACGCCTGATCCTCATCGAAAAGAGACAAATCTGCGTGCCATTTGGCGACGAAAGAAACAAAAAAGAGAAATTACTCGCAATAATTTGCAATTGTCCGCGACCGAGCACTGAAAGAAAAAAAGAAAAGAAACTTTCACGACTTCGCCTCGTTCAATTGTCGTCTTAAGTCTATGTTAACGTTACTATTTAATTAAGCTTACGTCACCTAGTTCGTCTAATAGTATCGAGAATCATGACCTAGGAATGGTTAGGCGACGGTTTAGGCCCACTTTGTTAAAATTCGGATTCACACTGAAACGCGCGTCGTCGGTGTGTATGACGCTCCCTTTCGCTTAAACTGTAAGAATCTATCGAAACGATTGACTAGCGAATACGAATGTTCTCTTTCGCAACAACGATATAACTCGCGCGCGAGCTCCCGCCGAGCAGGTCGGAAGCTCATCCGCCTCGACGAGTCACTGAGCACTATGACTTCTTCAGTTGCCCGTACTCGGGACTCTTAGACGAATAGAGGCCCAACTTCAGCGTCAATTCTTTGGGCTTTCTAGAGTTATTTCTAACGGGGAAAGGGCTGAAGTGCGCTTTCGGGCTCGGACTGCTGTCAGCGTTTTCGTCGTTCTTGTCCTCGTTTTCTATGTTACCGAGGCTCAACGTCGACTTCTTGTAACAGTTCGATCCCTTGCCCGCCAAATCCGCGTACTTGCCGAGGCTGATGCTGCTCGGCGATTCCGGATGCGAGACTGTCGGCCTCTTCGCCTCTTCCACTTCCAGGTCCGGAGAGAGTTTCGGGATGTAATGATTCGGGCTGGGAGGGAAATACTGATCTCTGTATTGACGGCTGGGCGACAAGGCATTGTAGTCGCGGTGCCTCGTCGGCAGATACGAACCGAGATCCGGATCCGACTCTACCACGAGGTTCGGTAACGTGCCCAAGGGCTTGTCGTAGTCCATGCTTCGCACGTGAGAGTACTCCTTCGGGGACAAAGTGCCGTACTTGTGACGCAGCAGGTCAGACCTGTCGGACTTGTACTCGTTGGAATAGTCGCCGACGTCCAGGCGTTTCTCCTCCTTGTTGCTGCCGTATTTTGTCGTTGGCGTGACCGCTTTGTTGTTGTTATCCTTGCCGTAATACGAAGCGGTCGTGTTCAAGGAGACCGTAGCTCTGTCGTCCGGGACAGGCGTGTACTCGCCACTGCTCTGCCTCGGTTTCTCATCGTCGTACCTCACGCGAAACTCCAACGATTCCTTCGACAATATCGGCACCTTGGGGTGCAGGTCGTACGAGTCGAGCGAGATCTTCGGTTTGGGATCTGTGTACTCAAACACACCGGTGTCGGCCGGTTTTTCGTAAGTCGTGTAAGGATTCTCGCGCGGTGATATCCTGCTCGTAAAGTCGAAGCTCTTGTAAGGCTCGTAGGTGCTCTTCAACGGTGATGAGTCGAACGGGCTAGTCTTGGCGGGCGCGTACCTTGTCGCGGCCGGCACTTCCGTGTAAGGCGCGGCGTCGTACATGATCGGGGACAGCCGTTTCGACGATATCTTCAGGGGAGTTTCCGGTAGGATATGCACCGACGAGATCTTATCGAGCTTCTCCAATTCCCTGTATATGTCTATATCGCTCTTGGGCGACATCGACATGTCCTGCTCGTACGCCACCTTCGACGCCGAATATGGAAATCTCTCCGGCTGAATCGCGACTGTATCGTGCGCGGACTCCAAGTCGCTTCTTGTCTCGATGGAGTCATTGGAAGATTTGTAGGAGAATACGTTCGTGGAGATGCTGGTGAGATCGAGACCCTCCATCTCGCTTATGTTCTGGCTGGATGAACCTTTCTCCAGGTTGATTATACTCGGCGGCGATTCTTCCTCGTAGTTGGCCAGCAGTTTGGAGAACTCCTCGTTTATCTTGTGATCTATGAGCGCCTCCCGGGTGTCCAGATAGATCTCGTCCACGTCTAGGTGGTCAATCTGTTCCATGTCGTCGATAAGGGAGAGCTTTGACAGCTCGTCGTTGATCTTAGCGTCGAACTCCGACACGCTCGTCGCGCTCATGCTGTCGAAGTCCTTGAAATTGATCCTGGCCAGCTCCTCGTTGATCTCGTGCTCGTTCAGTCCCATCTTCTCGAGAATCGGGCTGAATATCTTGGAGATCTCCTCGTTTATCGGACTGATGGTGATCTCCTTTGATATCTCCTCGAGATCCGGCAGACGTTTCTTCGCTTGGCAAGCTAAGATCTTGTGCAGTATGGCCGAGTTCTCCTGAATGATCTTCAACGCTCTGTCGCTGCTTCTGCGCCCGTTGTCGCCTTTCTTTCGCGGCTTCACTTTCGTCCACACGCCCACTTTCGACTCCCTGCCGTCGTCATCCGCGTCACCGTTGTTCTTGTTGCAGGCTATACTTTTTAGTATACTGTCGCTATTCTCGTCGATGTTGATTCTCGGATGCACCACGTAAGACTTCCTGCCCTCGCTCGTTACATTGATGTCTGGGATCTCTAGTCGTCGCTTCGAGAAGCCGCTCGCCGAATTGCTGAACGTGTCTTGCCGTCTCGCCTCTAGATTCTTCATGTCTTCCCAGATATCGCTGGTTTTCTTCGATAGCATGTTACTGTCGGGCGATCCGTCGCTGAAGGCCTTCGCTTCCAAATGCTTCATGTCCTCCAAGATGTCGCTGGATCGCTTCTTCGCCATGGTCGTGCTGAATTCGTCGGTCGAAGCGGATGACTTGAGGTCGGTGAATCTGCTTTCCAAACTACTAGAACTTCTCTCGGCCAGCCTCGATCGATCTCGACGCCTGTAATTGTAATTGAGATAATGCTTGTCGAGCTTCTCGTGCGGTAACTGCGGCACCACGTCTTTCTCGGACAGCGGGTCGTCAGCGCTATCGTCCGTGAGATCCCCACACTTGCGATACGACTCGCTGCCGTCGATCGATTCGTAACAACCCGATTCGACTCTGCACTTCTCCCTCGTCGTGTAGCTCAGTTCAACGTGTGCGGCCGACTCTGCGCTTAGGCCGAATTGCGGCCTAACAAATAGATCGCTCCTCTTGCAGACCGCATCGTTCATCGCGTTCTCCTTCGCTTCGATCGGTCTCACAGCGGGGTCCAGTTTCGCTTGATAGCTCGACAGCTTGGCTGAGTCCTTGGAGCTGATCGATCTCAGATCAGGCGACGTGTCGGCGCTGTCGACGCTGCTCCGTCGCTTGCCTGTGCTGTACGGCGATGGCGTCTTCTGGTTGGGATTCGCGATGGGGTAGAACGGCGAGGTCGCGCTGCTCAAGTCGATCGGCGAGTCCGACACGTTGTCTCGGCAGCGTTTGCCGTAGTGCGTGGTGTATCTTATGGAGTTGGCACTCACCGGCGACTGCAGGTCCGAACTGAACGACTTCTCGGAAGACTTGATTTTACACGGGCTACACGAGTCACTGGAGCTGCTGATCACCAACTTCGGACTAGTGTCCGATTTGTTCTTCAGGGAGTCTGTACTGATCGGAGTCGAGGGGCTTGATTTCTCATACGACGTCTTCTTCGCGATCGGCCGCGGGCTTTCGTGCGCGATGTCCGAGCCCGCGGAATGAAGGATCAGGGTCTTGGAGTCCGAACTGATCGACGAGCAGGCCGACGACTTGTCCATCACAAAGTCCCGTGAGCTCGATCTCACCGGCGTCTTAGGACTCACCGTCAGACTGGAGGGCTTCGAATCGGGGCCCATGGTCTCTCCAGAGCTGAAGGACTTTGCGCTCTCAGGAGACTTCGGACTCTTCTTCAGGTCGCAATACGACTTCGTTTGTACCGTCGGCAGCTTGTCGCCGATAAAGGTGTCCCTCTTCGAAATCGCTTCGGGACTCGTTAGATCTTCCGCACTCAACGCGACGTTGTGCACGTCGTGCGACATTTTCGTCAGTTTGCTATCGATCGTTATCGGGGAAATCGGCAAGTGGCCTACGACGTATCTCTTCGTGTAAAACGGCCGTTCTGTTACGTCGTCGACAGTTCTACCGCTTGGAACGTCTTCGATCGATGCGATATCGCTCGATTCGAGATCACTCTTCAAAGTTAGGTAAACCTTGCTGGAAAATCTCGAGGAGGATTCCGAGGGCTCGTCGTCCGCGTTTAAGGGCGTGATGAATTTATCGTAATTCCTATCTAAAGAGATGCTCGGTTGTTCCAATATTTTAGAATTATCCAGCAATATGCTCGTGCTGCTTTCATCCATGATATTCGTCTTAAGGCCCGTTCTGTCTTCGCTGTTAGCCCGAACTACTTCTTCCTTTTCTCCCAGGTGCTTCAGTCGATCCGTCCCGTGCGTCAGACTGTCGTCCGTCTTCTCCTCGACGAGATTAGAATTAAGGCTTAGGTAATCGTAACTAACGACAGTCTTTGACGACGATCTCGTCGCGTCCTCGCCGGACGTGCACTCAATAGAATCCCGCGGTCTCGACTCAATTTCCTTCGACTGTGATCTCTGGACTGAGAGATCGCCCACTGACAGCTCGTCGTTGTCGCGCGCGCTCGATACTTGAGGAACCGTCGTATTATTGTCATCTTCCGCCGAGAGCCTTCGTATTTGATCGGTGATCTTGGCAATCGAGATTTCAGTCAGAGACGGAGATTCATCGCTGCGTTCGATCTCGAGAACCGATTCCGTTCGTGGTTCCTCGATTGTCGTCGTCGTCGTCGTCGTCATCGTCGCCGTCATCGTCGTTGTTGTTGGCACCGGCTCACCCTTCACGTACAAGCGTACAGGTGTGCTGCCCGAAGTCGATGAACCCTCTACGCAAGGATGCTTCTCGTCGTCCATGACGTAGGAGTCGGATGCTGACGTCAGCTCTTCGCTATCGACGTCGCTCAGGCGATCCGGCTCGTCGCACAGCTCCGTCGACGTGCTATCACTGTCGCTGTCGACGGCACCTCGGTTAGGTGACGTCAGTGACGACGTCTCCGGCGGTGACTGTAAAAACGCGCTGCCGAAGGCTTCGGCGTCTGTAACAAGGAAAATAGGAAACATTAGTGAAACAGGTTATTGGCTGGAGCGGTTCTGTAATTAGTTAACGATCCGGTAACTCCAAGACGGAGGTAGCAATTAGCAAAATCGACAATCATTAGCTGATCGAGAGATAACGTTCTAAATTGTGTCCGTAAGAAGCTGTGCCAGCCTTGAGACGAGTTTTCCGCGGAAAACGATCTCGCGATAGGGAGGCGACTCCGCGAGGGAAGCTGCGGAACCGGATGTTGACCCTATCTGCCACACCTGCGTCAATACTCGCGCTTGCCGGTATCGAGCATGGAACAGGTGGTTGATTGCATTTATCGCGGTGGCTCGGAGGCTCTCGACGTTTGATAAGCGGCGGTAGTACGGCGCGAAAGTTACCATCGGTGGGTGGAGATTCTACGTTACTCTCTGCCGCGATGCGCTTGCCGTGGGTAGGTCAGCGCGGTAACCGACATCACAGAGCAGGTCGATAGAAATAGTTATTACAAATACTGATGCTTGTAACTTATCGTTTCGCTGCGCATCTTGACTCGTATTTTCAAAAATTTTGGCGAAACTTTCCGGTGAAAAAAGAAGAATCAGTGAGATAATTAAAGATTCAATTACTAAAGAAACTGCGTTTTCCTCGTGCCGTTAATTTTCTCTCTCTCTCTCTCTCTCTCTCTCTCTCTCTCTCTCTCTCTCTCTCTTCGATATTAATCGCACATATTTTTTTTTATAGCAAAAGTTAATTGTCTGTTTATTGTACATACGCGCGCAGATTTGTGCCATCTTTTATACGTCTGATAACATATACCATAAATACTTTCCGTGCGGGAGATAAACATCATCTCGTTAAAAAGTTATGTCGAAACAACACTTTTACAACATTTCGCGATATATCTTGGAAGAAATTTTTTTTAAGGATTTTCTTCGCAGTAGCTTTCATCGGTAATTAATCGCACTTACCGCCAGCGTCGCCGGCTCTTTGCTTCGGTCTCTTCGTGTCCTTCCAGTGAAGCGTGACACCTTGTCTGTCCCTGCGGCTTTGACTTCTCGGGCTGTGAATGGCCGCCGGCCGTAACTTCGACGTGGCAGTGGCAGACGGCAGACTCAATGGCCGATTCTTTCCGCTTACGAGGGCATTTTTGCCCACTAACAGGTGATTCATGGCCGTGGAGGTGGGCGGATGTACCATGGTCTGTCTCGCGCACGCGGCTGCGTTAGAACAAGATTTAACAGGTCGGTTAGAACAAGAGTGATGCTTATTTTGTTAACTGGCGAAGCCGATTGAAAGATAATCCTAGCGGTCTCTAAGCAACTGTGTCTCTGTTACATAAAGTGGCACTTTTGCCTGTTACGTTCTCCTTCTTACTCTGGAGGAAGGGAACATCGTTAATTCGCGATAGCCTGCCGTGCAATTACGCTACCTCCTCTTCTCGTTCTTTACTTCTTTATTGCTAATAGACACCCTCAACTTGCGTAACTTGCACAGACTCAGCTACGTCCCCTCGTTATGATACATATATTTCAGGATATCGATTTCAAAAGTCACACGAGTCCGCAAAGTGCCGAGTTCGCCTCAGACAGAAATCTGGCTTCCGTTCCAACTACATCGACGTATGCCAATTAAACTTTCTCGATCATATAAGTTTCTCTCGAGCCCAACGAGAGGCTCGGTGAAATGGCTACTTTGGGTTGACGTGCAAGAGAGCCTCAAGTTGCAACCTACGGTTTCTACGTGATAGGTCATAGCATCCCCAAAGGTCACGGCGCGGTTATCGCGTATTTACAGGCGGATCGAAATATGACAATGGTACGTAACCGTAAACACGAACGTGAGTCCGGTGTGTTTCATTCATGAATATGGAATGACCGAGTGTTGTCGACGGGCGAAACAGTAGCCGTAGCGAACGCGTTGCCGCTCGTAAAGCTTCCCCATGAAACTTCTACGTCAGAATTACACGTACACATCAGCTTGATCATAAAAATACACGCTGGAGACGCGCAACCCAATTTTCTGTATGACGTTAACGTTAAAACATAACTTTGTCAATAATTCTGAACAGCGTTAACAATAAAGGAATCATTGCAAAATTGCACTTTCCCGATATAACGCGCGTGCAAATTGCATTATAACACCGTGCTCAATATAATTAATTTATTATTATTTTACGGCGATCAGTCACTTCTATACCGAATTGAATGAACTTTTGCATAACGGATAGCCGCTGCGTGCTATGCTGCGAATTAAAAAGGAACCTGCGTGTCAAGATATAATTCCGAAATGTCAGAGCGGGAAGGGGATCTTTTGAAATCTCGTATTCGGGAGGGGGGGGGGGGGATTTTCTTATAATTCATTCACTTTAGTTCATTTCTTTCTTCCGTGAAAGATGGATTGTTCTCTTTTAATTCACAGTACGCAATTGTGCGAGATCACGCGAAGCTCATTCTATTCGTCGGTCATTACCAGAAAGTATTATGTGCGCTTGCCGCTGTCGCTCTCGCAGTTTTGCATATTGCTGCTTCAGCGTGCTAATATCTAGGGCAAGGCGTTCCCGATCGCTACTGGGCGCCATCGCTTGTAACGCTCCTATTGTCGAAGGCAGACGATCTGAAAATATAAAATCGATGGGACACCTAGCCGCGCCGCGCCGCGCCGGGCTCTTGATTTAGGCATTGTCGGGGTAGCCCGCAATTTCCGCAGGACGACATTCACCTTTCTTAAGACGCTGGGCCATGCTGAACATGGCAGCTGCCACAGCCAGTCTTTCGTCCTCTTCTGTCTCGCTGTCATCGTCGTCACTCAGCTTGCGCGCCCATGGGGTGATATTGTATCGATGCTTTTCCCTCAGACTTGTCACACCGTGCAGGGCCCCCATGCTGACGATGTTCTGTGCCGAAGCGAACCGCGAATAAATAAATTACGTCGCTCGCAAACACAGTAATTGATGGTGTAATTAGAGAAATACTAATTCCTCGTGGCAGAACGGATCGACTTAGCGCGAGACCGGAGATATATCCACCGGAGAAAGCTTCAAACGTAATTAATCTTCCGACGACACTCGGCTGTATCGTCATTACCGAGCGCTTTGTAATTAGTTATGTCTAACCTTTATGAGATTGTTCGTGTCGGTGAATTCTAGCATCTCTCGCGTAAGCACTCCCATTATGCTGTAGAACTCGTCCGCTGACGTCACTGTCATTATGCGACTGCAAGAGCAATTAATTGTTTCTTTATCTAGTCGTCGCTTACACACGTACACATGTACATGCACACACAAGTTCACCGACGAGATTACGAGGCTCGAGAACTGCGCGATTTTAATAATGAGCTCGATTTGAATTCTGGACTCACTCGGAGAGGCCTTCCCAGATAGCGAGCGCCGTTCTGAGGAGTACTTCGTCACCTTCGAGGAATATCAGATCCCAGACACGAAGCACCGCTTCCTGCGGTAAGCAGTGGCAGAAGAGCGTGAGGAACCATTGCATAGTGAACACATTCGTGAGCGGCGGCTCGTAGCTGCTGCCTGAAAAGCGACGCGAGATCACTTATCGTCTATAGCGGTCGGGAGATGTGTGGTAATAACGGCGCGGTCGAATTTGATTCAATCATTCGGCGCTTGACGGCGCAGCGCGACATGAATGACGACGTTCTTCGCGATCCCGCGGCTTTTGTCAGACACGCACGAAAGTTCCTCACGAAAATTAATTTCTATCGAAAGCTCCTACGCCGAGGGTCTTCGCGTCTTGGGAATATTTACACAAAAGAACCTTGTTATTATTACCGAAACTGTGCTCGGATACGCGTTCGGCGAGGCTACGCGTGTCCCAATCTCTCTGGTAATTCCATTTCGCGCGGCAGCGAATCTCCCTGTATTTCTTACTCTTATCCGCTCCTTCTGCTCCCCCCCCCCTCTCTCTCTCTCTCTCTCTCTTTCTCTGTCTCTCGCGAGTATTTATTTTATCGAGCCGACACTCACCCGTCGCTTTGTCCTTCGCGTCACTCTGGAGAGCCTCGAGGTGCTTGGATAACTTCGGCAGCCTCGAGCGCAGGAGGTCCCGAAATACCGCCATATCCACCGACAGGCCGCGAAGATTATCGGCGAAGTAGCCTTCGGGCAAGACACCTTCAATCAAGTATATCATCACTTTCACGGCCGAGGACTCTGCGCGATCCATCACCTGCAGCACCAGGGCGGCCAAGACGTTGAGGCCCTGGCAATAGCCGACGGACTTGTTCCATCGGGCGAAGCCGAGCAGAACCCGACGGAGCACCGCCTGGTTGTCCCGGCCGGCGGCCCCGCAGAACAGGCTGCAGCCTGTCCTGTGCAGATCCTGCGAATTGTAACGTCCTTTACCGATGAATCTGACCGGAGATTGCCTTGTCGGACGACCGGTGTGTGTGCAATCGTATCTATCTCTATCGTCTATAACTATAATTTCGACGAGTGTCATTTTTCTCTCCCGATGTATCTCGGGATCTGTTGAATTCGCATCATATTGAATAGACAATCAATCTGGCTGCGGGATTGTCGATCTCTTCGATAGAAGAACGAATGAACGAACGAACGAATGAGATTGGAAATCGAAGAAGCAACGGATGTCAACCTGAACGACGAGAATCTTGGCGCGAACGTGTAACACTACGCGCGTAGGCGGGCATTAATTACAAGAGCAATCGGCTAGAGTTAATCATTCGTCATTACGGTGATGGACGATCAGCGGGCTTACTTGAGCGTAATTAATAATAATTAGAACTGAGAGGCGGGGTTGCTCCATAAATGCGTGCGAAGCTGATATAAGCGGCCGTAATCAAATGGGATATCGGATTGCGGATATTTTTAGAAGGCCGACTCATGCCCACCAATTCGAACGACGGCGTTCGCATTGATCCAAATTGCACCATTCCTGGTGACTAATTTTTAGCTCCTCGTGTTTTATCTCCTTTAATTGTTCATAATACAGTCCAGAAGTTTTCCTACTTTTGCTTGCGCAACGATTCGCTGTTTTTCGTCCTTGTCTCTCTCTCTCTCTCTCTCTCTCTCTATCTGTCTATCTCTCTGACTCCCAGGGAACGATAAGATGCATCGCAGCAAATGCGTTGTCTCTCCGTAAATACTCTTCGCGGGAAACTGAGCATCCGGAGACGTTCTCGTGGAATTAACCGGGTCGCCCTTCATTTCAGAGATAGCACGACAAACTGCGAGCGCACGTCGCCAGGATGATGTCATCCAAAGTGTAAAAGGAAGATACACACACATGAAATTTCCGTGTGGAGAAGGAGCCCCGTTGGATTCCCGTAGGAAAACAGAGAGAATGGAAGAATCGATAAGAAGCGATGAAAGTAATAAAAAGACAACACGTTACACAGAAGCGCGACCAGCGCGAGATCGACGTTGGCGTTTTGTTAACGTTCGTTAACGTTGCTTAACTGTTAACGCAGTCGAGGGACAGGCGCTTTCGCGGAAGAAGCTCCGTATAAATCATTTGCGTCAAGGCGACCGTGCCGACGTTAATGCTACCGGGGCTGAGTGTATTTGGACAATACTGTAGGCACGTACTTTCACGATTTGTATGCCGAGCTCTTCGTCGTCGGGATTACTCCACTCGTTGAAACAGACCTTCTCGGCCTGCTTCCAATCCACGCCCCGTTGTTCCAGATGACGTTCCGCCAGCGTCAGCCACAACTGTGAAAAAACATCAGAGTTCACTTACGGCAAACGTGCGTTAAAGCAAGCGTGTGGACGGACTACTAGTGCTCGCGTCGCGTGTTACGATTTTGCAAACGGTTCTACAGTCATCTAAGGGCAAGCGTAATCAGCACGAGACGCACTCTTTTTCGGAACTCCGGTGGTATCCCTCCTTGCAATCTGGCGACCATCTTCATCGCGTCTAGCCATTGTATGAAACCACTCTCCCCCGGCTGCGGAGTCAGGCTGAACCTCATTTTCGTGTCTTCGACTGAAATCCAGAAATCCGTGAAAGAAACTTCGAGCTACATCACGCGGTGGATTAGAATAGATGGGATCACATTAGACATTCTAAACAGCACGTAACGATTTCGAGAGCCGCGATTTCTTCGCATCGGGGGAGCAACTTTACATCTTCGGACGAAGGGAACATGGAAAATTGCTTGTTTGATTCAAGTCTAAATGGAGACACTCGGAGAAAGTTTAATTTAATGAAGCGAGCTCGTTGCAGGCATACGTCGTAGTGTTCGACTCGAATCGACGACTCAATATGCTCGACTGTCAAAGTTGCAGCAATCCGCTGCGCGATCTGTTCGATCGAGCACGAGCGACTGACGAAGTCGCGAAGTAAAGCAAACTCGGTCGCCTTTAACATTTATTAAATGGAAGGGTCGTTGCATGATCGTCTCCATGACAACCCCGAGCGAAGCGAGTCACCGGCTCGAGTTGGAAATAACTAAAGAGAACAAAATTCCAAGAGAACACACACACACACACACAGCTGTGTAGCACAAATAAACGCAGTTTTTCTTCCCGTCCTGTTGCCGGCGCGAGAGTCGCACATGTCGGCATGCGAGGGTGCAGACGCGCGCAAGATTGAAAACACGCAATTTTCACGCGACAGTGACTCGCCGCGACGACGCTGGCAATATCACCTTATTGTCATCTCACGGCATCTACGAATGAGCTCGGCTCGATCTACGCTGGAATGCGATTAATGGCTGAATAAAACGCGCGCCCGCTCTACGCACTGGCTCATGAAATCGACGTAATCGCGTTCTCGCAACAATTGTACTTCGCGTGCCGAGTCGAGACGCGCTCGCGCTCACGCTCACGTCTGCTACTTGCGGATCATCGCCGACTGCGTTCTGTCACTCCGTCCTTTGTTTGGACACGTGTGTACCCTCGGAAATTGCGGGACGCAGCGGCGAAAGCAATTATTTGCCACGCGCCGTTGTCGCAAAATAAACAGCAGCTCCAGCGCGGCGTCCCGTTAGAATATGCCTCGACACGCGCACCTGCAAAACTGACTCAAGTATATACGACACGCGGAATTCACGGTCGAGGAGGCTGCTGCAAATTACACGTAAGGACGCGGCCATAAATCGTATCGCGTAAGGCGAAATAACGCGGGACATGATAGAACGCTCGTCGAGTCCGCCACAAATTAAATGCGCTCCATACGCTACATTTTATGGACACTTCAGCGTGGACAAACGCAGAGCGCCGTAACGTGGAGCGCGCGCGAGGCGCGTTCCGCGCGAAGATTGCGGCGAACGCGCGCCGCTGCGACGCGCTCCAATCACTCATCGGTCGCGATGAGATATGCGCGAGCAGATACGCGTCCGATATTTCGTTTGCGCGCGTTTACCGCGCCGCATCTCACGATTTAATGAGCCAACAGTTTTGCACAGGCTAAAACGAACGACGCTTCATTCGCGATGCGAAACACTCATCAGTCACGTTCAACAAACAGCGTCCTCGCTCGCTCGATTTTTATGCGTTGTTATTATTATACCTGCAATTGATGTCGTATTTACGTAAAACAACGAACAGAAACGATCTACGCGCGATTTGCCACGCGACGGCGAAATCAACCCGTTTGATTATAGGCCGCGCGTGCTTTGCGCCTCGGGGCGAAAATAACCGCGTGTTCAACCGCGATTGACAACAAGGCGCGTCGAGCCGCAAGCTCCTCCGCAAGTGTATCAGATTAACATTATAACGCTCAGGCTCGTGCGACAGTTTACACCGCCGCCGCATCACTTAGGAGGATCTAATTTACGAACATTTAGCGCGCGTGGAAATTTTGCATTACGGGGGTTCCCGATTACGACTCTTTGCACACGTGTCACGCACGGAAGGAAGACATTAGCATACGAGATAGAGATAGATTTACGGGGGAGGGGGGAGGGGGGGAGGAGGAGGAGGAGGAGGAGGAGGAGGAGGAGAGGAGGAGTCGGTCGTTTCACCTTCCAGCTCCTCGTATCTCGAGGCAGAGCCGCCAGCGTACGCGCCACCGGACGCGAGGTTTTTCAGGGAGTTGAAAAATCCGTTCATCCTCCAGCTAGAAGCGCCACTCTCTCTTCTTCATCGTCGTTTTCACTCTCACCTCTGCCGCCTCTTGTCGTAGCGCGCGCAGACTGCTCTCAACCGTTCTCGTGATTCATCACCGGCCGTTCCGCGGTTTACTCGCGCGATATCCTTCCCGCACTTGACTACGTCTCGCGATGCTCCCTTCGGGGGCGCGTTACTCTTACCACGACTCTGAAAAACCGGTCGATCCGTTGACTCGATCGCGATCGCGCGCCTGGGCCTCGTAGGAATCTCATCGACCGCTACGAGTTTCGTCGGTAGAGGCGAGATTCTATTTATACGCACGAGGGCGACATAATAAAAAAACGTCGTATCGAATATTACTAAATTAATTAGTCGGCCGGTAGAGCGTTGCAACTCTTTGTACGTGTGCTTCACCGATAATAGCGGAAACTTTACGAAACACTAAGTGTGTGATATATTCATTGAGTGTGACATCTCGTGCTCGAGATGTACATATATCAAACAAAATCCGCGCCGGCTAGAGAGTCGACAAAATTGCGGAACATTCCAGTTGGCTCTCTCTCTCTCTCTCTCTCTCTCTCTCTCTCTCTCTCTCTCTCTCTCTCTCTGTCTCTCTCTCTCTCTCTCTCTCTCTCTCTCTCGCCATATCTATACAGCTGTACCACCTGTTACAAGCAGCACAATGTAGATACCCACGCACTACGTCACGCGCGTAATATACGTGCGTCTATGTAGATCGCGAAAGGTTCTTTCACACAAGCTCATTATTTAGGGCATCGGATGCATTGTCACGTCACATTAGTGTGCAATTTATTAAACGCGCAAGGTATTTATGTACATTATGTATACGGTCCTTAAAATATTCGAGTGTGTATGTGTACGCGAATCCGTGCAGAGCGCGGCGAGCTGGTTTATCGCAATAATAAAGTGCAGATAACGCCGATAAGGGGTTGGCCGAGAGCCGATAGCGATATCGACTTTTACCGCGACGGTGGTCGCGGAGAAACCGATAAAACGTCCGGCCGGTTAATCCGATCTCGCGATCGACCCGCGGTTGATTACAGCGCAATTAAGAAAATGTCCAGCTTCGCTGAAACTTCTGTCCGCTTGTTTATCGCGCTCGACGGCGATAATCGTTTCCTTTCAATCAAACTTCAATCAAAGTTACGCAAAATTATCGGATGCACTTTAAGTGCATCTCCGCGTCGGGGTAATGGAATTAATTTACGGCGGCGGCGAATACGTGAAACGGAGGCCGAGCTCGCGCGGTGGCGGCGGCGGACTCACGATTTTCACGCCGACGAGAATGAAAGATTCGCTCCATGCGTGCGGCGCGAGCGGCAATACAATGAGCGTGCACGCTCTCGCTTAATCAGTCACGCTCGTTGTAACCGAGATTTTACACGCCGCACGACTTCCGTCTTTCTTGATACTACTTAAAAACGGACGTCGGCATGATAAAAGTCCAGGCGATCGGAGAACGTCGGCCCGACAAATCCGCCGATTAGAATTGAGCCTCCCGCGATTTGTAAGAATATTCCTCGAGAATCTTAAAACGCATCGAAGCTCCAGCGTGATAAAAATACGACGGGTTTACTCTCGTGTGCGTTGGTACTAAACTAATTCGTCTGTAAATACAGCGAAACGAAATCCGGAGCAACGAACGCGGGGAACGAACTTGGAGGAATTCCCGATTGAATCCGTGTAATTTCGCTCCGGAAATTCGAAGCGCGTATTGATTGATCGCGACTTTCGGCCCCTCGCATTGTCTGGGCAAAATGTCAGGCACTCGTGTCAATCAATCCGTGTTGCAATTCTCGAGGTATGAATCAGAAACAGAAAGCCGCTTCGACGCGTGGCATATCCGCGAGGACAAATCGCGCGCTGGTCATCGATACGTACGCGGTTTAATCGAAGTAAATTAAGCACGACAAATCCCGACCGGTCGACGCGCTACAGAGAGAGAGAGAGAGAGAGAGAGAGAGAGAGAGAGAGAGAGAGAGAGAGAGAGAGAGAGAGAGAGAGATTCAGCATATAACCCGCACATCGCTGATTTCTTCGTTCTTCGAACGCGATTGTATTTTGATCGATAAGCGCGCTACGAGGAAATTCGTCTGACTCGAAGCTGCGCTTTCTGCCCCTTTCTGCCACTCTCCTCTTTTGCCCTTGTCTGCCCGGAGCTCGATCGAATGCCGACTTGCGGCTTGCTCTAGAAACCGAATGTAGCAGGCTTGTTCTCGCGAGAGAGAGAGAGAGAGAGAGAGAGAGAGAGAGAGACGAGATAGAGAGAGAGAGAGAGAGAGACGAGAAGAAAATGACCCAATAATACGCGCACATAACAGACGCACAGATTCGCCCGCATGAAACGCACGCGTCCGGACAGCAGCCGGGGTTTAAAGGGCTGCCGAGCTGATTGTTGTGTCCACGTCAACCGCGAGACCCGCTTCGCCCCTAGCGCGCATTTATCCGTGGCAAAAGGGGGCATCGCGTCATTGACGATGGGGTTGCTTCGGCGAAGCGAGCGAACGAAATTAGCGTGTCACCGGATCGTACCATCTTTACCGAAGAGCAGAATCGACTGCGCGCTACCGTCAGCGATCGTCGTCGTCGTCGTCGTCGTCGTCGTCGTCGTCGTCGTAGCCGATTCCGCAGCGCGACAACACCGGCCGCACGCACTACAAGCAGGAGTCACGGCTCTCCGGAACGCACCACGAGCGAACGAGCCCACCGACGTGCATCTCGCGACACTTGATGTGCGGAACAGCGGAAACGCGGAAGTTCCTCCGGACTGCTCCGCTCTCTCACTCGAGAGATGCGAGCACTACACTCTGCTCGGTCACTACGGCACTCGAGATCGTCCCGAAAAGCTCGGCGGGTCGCGGCGTGTCCGACGACAGCTGTCCCGAAACACCTGGAGAAGCGTCTTCGTGC